CCACAAGCAGTGTAATAACAAGACCCGTATTTCACCCACTGCCGGGCTGATAGGGCCATCCAATGCATTTTGAATGGGCGATCAACATCAGCCCGGGTGGTAAGAAATTAGAGTTAGGTCCCTTGGTGAGTCGTCTGCTCGGCTAGCTTTCCCATGACAATGTCTTCCTTTCCCGTAACAATGTTTTCCTTCCCCGTGACAATGTTTTCCAATGTGGTTTGTTTGGTTGGTTTGTTGTTTAACGCCGTACTCAGCAATAGTCCAGCTATATGAGTAATTGACATCATGAACATCGATCTACGCAATTAAGATACGATGACGTGTATCAACCAATTCAACGAGCCTGACCACCCGATCCCGTTAGTATAATGAATTTCGGCAATAAATATCCATTTTGATTCCTGTATAATAGTACAACAATGAATTAAAAATGACTTGGCATTCTTGTTCATACAAAATTCAAACAGGTGTATTTCAAACTATACATCAGTCTCTCTCGATCGACATGGCTGTTACTAGCTCTCGAATTTACAAGCTCTCATGATTACGAAATGAAAACCAAAACCTTTGTGGGTCTGCACATTCTCAACAACAACAAACTGTGTAAGCTGATTCTACAACAACTCTTTAAAGTGAGAGCATGTGTTACATTTAAAAACATCAGTCAATATTTCAAATGCAAACATTGGATAGTGGCGTCACCTTGACCTTAAACTGTTAGATGTTGTCTAGAGTGTTTGTGCAACATTTTCACGAAAAGGAAAGTTAACGTAAATGTGCATTAACCAAGCACATTGGAGCAAGAGTTCTTAAGATAAGTCGTCGATTGGGGCCAGTAAATCCAACGTCCGACTCAACAACCTTGCACATATTAACGTTGAATACGCTGCCGTAGATCTGGCAAGATAACATGCAGTGGATCACATCATTAGTTGCGTGCTGCGAATGTGAACAAACCACAGTTTCGCGTTTTAGTACTGAGGCGGATACAGGATCAACATGCGAAATGGGAGATCTTTCAACGGTTGGGATGTCACTGAATGACATCGGCCAAGCGTGATCCGAAAGTGGTTTGACGGGATCCCTGCGTGCACTGGTTTTGGACAAAATGTTAGAGATATCACGGTGTTGATCTTCAGTGATTCGTGAATATGTGTTTATAGAATGTATAGACCGTGGGGTCGACTCCGATCTGGTTTGGGATTGCCGTTCAAAATACTCGATGAACTCGATGATTAACAGAATCTCGTTTCAACTATAAACAACCCCCTCCAAGCCATTCTTCTGTGTGGAGTTATTAACCGTAGACCGAGAGAAGTTTTTTTGTTCAACCATAGAGTGTTTGTTTGTTGCTTTACGCTGCACTCAGCAATATTCCAGCTATACGACGGAGGTATAGAGTGTTTAATATGAATTCAGGCGTGTTTGTGCCAAACTGGCCTGCATCTGAGTTGTATTATTTTACTGATGGAAATAACTTCCGTTTTGTAAGGTAGGTTTCCTTTTCCCGTTTTTTCAGTGATTTTGTTTTTGACTTGATGGCATCCTTCATTTTGGAAATTCAACGGAATGTGAGAACCCATAATCTTTGCGTTTTAAGGGACGATCTAAACTGCCCCTGTATCCAATGAGTGAGCGTATACGGACCTATCCAAAACTTGCACATGATCGTGTTACGTTCAGTTGGAGGGATAACTTCAATTGGGCGCTGCTCATTCTATTTTTCTGGAAGAAAGGTCTTGACAACTCGCAGGGGCGGTCGGGTAGCCTAGTGGTTAAAGCGTTCGCTCCTCACGCCGAAAACCCGGGTTCGATTCCCGTCATAGGTACAATGTGTGAAGCCCATTTCTGGTGTCCCCCGCCGTGATATTGCTGGAATATTGCTAAAAGCGGCGTAAAACCATACTAACTCACTCACTCACTTGACAACTCGCATGTTGATCATAGTTGATTTTGTATTGTGTTTGCATTTTCATTTTGTGGCAAAAAATGTCAGTGTCGCTATAATGTACCTTACGAATCTTCCTGCGTGTTTTGGAAGATCAGGGATGTCATTCGGGCCATCCAATCATCCAATTCATCCCTCAAATCACCCAACAATGATTGATTGCAGACATTGAAGTCACGGTTTCAGGAATCAAACGTAGTCTTCAACAAGGGACTTGTCGCTCACCCATGTTTTCACCACAAAGACATTAAAACTGTTCAATGGCTGTATCATAAGGTAGAGAATTTATATGGATGTCAGTTTCTTTTTTATGAGGAACACAACGTTTCGGAGCATATGCTTACTCCTCCACCTGATGAAGGAGTAAGCATAAACTCCGAAACGTTGTGTTCCTCATAATAAAGAAGTTGACATCCATAAAATTTTCATCGTTATGTGTATCACTTCTAAATGCCTTTCAAAGACTTGACAAAGGTTACAGAAAAGAATACTATCCCTCCCACTATGAGTGAGTGAGTGAGTATGGATTTACGCCGCTTCTAGCAATATTCCAGCAATATCACGGCGGGGAACACCAGAAATGGGCTTCACACATCGTACCCATATCGGGAATCGAACCCGGGTCTTCGGCGTGACGAGCGAACGCTTTAACCACTAGGCTCCCCGACCGCCCCCTCCCCATATGAATAATAAAAGTCTTTATACTAGTTATAACTGTATCCAAGTCTCGTCTACGGGTCCAGGGTTGGATTCATCATCCCTATATTTCAGTAACAGCTTTCGATTAAATGTAAAGTCCTTCACCGTTTCCGAGTGATGTCATGGTCATGTCGCTATGTCCCCAGGCAGTTCTCGTGCTGTTCGTGCTGAAGTGAGTGAGTGAGTATGGTTTTACACCGCTTCTAGCAATATTCCAGCAATATTACGACACCAGCAATGGGCTTCACACATTGTTCCTATGTCAGTAATCGAACCCGGGTTTTCGGCGTGACAAGCGAACGCTTTAACCACTAGGCTACCCGACCACCCCTCCGTGCTGAAGGGAATCCTATTGTTAACTAGATCATTATGGGAGAAAAAGAAAGCCATTTGGTTATTAGTTATGGCACCCTCTGGAATAACTTAGACACACAGTGGCACCCAGGACACTCACGCATAGCTCCAGAAAGCATGCTAGCAGGCGATAGCACATTGTCATGCCGCGTGACCATGCTGAGCATGGCGAATACTTGTCGACTACAGAAATCTGCTTAAAGCCTTTTGGTGGGATAAACGTTCCAATTTTCTGTCTCCATGCTTCAACTGAAATCCCCATTTTGGCTTGTCAAGTTGTTTATATCATAAATTGATATAACACCATCGTGCATTTCTTCCGAGAAACAATTCCACCTGCGTCTTACACCCACGCATGCGCGCCATCTAAACGGATCACATACGCGCTGCTGTGAGGTATTCTTTTTGGACAATGAATATATTTTGTGATGTTTTAACGTTTCAGTTTTGGTGAGGAACTCTCATTTTGACGGGTGATCTTAATAATTATTGGGCTCACATGTTGTTTGTTCGCATTGTATGGCACATAATAAAGGAGTTTTGCTCATAAAACATGACTTTAGCTATTTCAGCAGATGAACGCAATATGACGTCTTGACGTTTAGTGGCGATGCTCAGCAAACTTTGAATAGCATATTGTCTTCGTCATCATTCTTTTATTCTCCGTTTGCCAGATCAATATGTATGGTTGTGTGTGTATGTTGTGGAGGTGTCTCGGACACCTGGTGCCCTTCCATTGCGACTACAAGCACAGCAACATGTGAGCTACGAGGAATAAAGAATTATCTGTCCCGAGAGAAGTAATGTAATACGTTCCGGGTCCTGGAGAGTGACTCCCAACATTGCTCCACGGGGGATAATTGATATGTTCAGACATCCCAGACACTAGAACGTTGTTCCCACTCTACTTAGATGCAGTACATTTGAGATAAAATTTGATACTGGTTGTTATACAAACTCATCAAAACCAGATCCTGGGGCTCGCTAATGCTACATACAGATCTAAGGACAAGCCAGTAAATATGATATCAGAACGACATTTCGTCCGAAAGCACAGTCCTGCCTTGCATCACAAGCAAACAAACCCCTTATGGCAATATACAAGTATCAAAAGAGAGTAATTGTATTGATCTTTTCAGGATTTTTGATGCAATGGTAACACCGATATTGTGCCATGGGTCAGAAATCTGGGGAACAAAATATTGTAAAACTGTTGAAAATGTGTAAATATTTCCTGAAGGTTGGTAAAACTAAATGCAATAGTATGGTACTGGGTGAATGTGGCTCCACTTAAAAACACGTCACGGGCAGTTACGTATTGGTGTAGACTGATCACAATAGATAGCAATAGGCCATTGACCTTTTTATGGAATACATTATCTTGTCTTGTCGAACCCGGATCAAAGTCTCCAGTGAGGGTGATGCACGGTTTCAGTGAAGTGCTGGGTTGTTTCAGTGAGGGTGATGCACGGTTTCAGTGAAGTGAGGCGTGGTTTCAGTGAGGATGATGCACGGTTTCAGTGAAGTGAGGCGTGGTTTCAGTGAGGATGATGCGTGGTTTCAGTGAAGTGAGGCATTATTTCAGTAAGGGTGAGGCATGTTTTCAGTAAAGTGCTGCATAGTTTCCGTGAAGTTTCCTTAATCAACACGGTGTCACGCCGTGAAATAACTGAAATTCTGTTCAAGCCAGACTCGGCCACTAAAACGCTCACAGGACGCATCGTATATGATAGATTGTAGTCTGTAATGGACCACCTCTGGATCACAGTAATAAGTACTGTCGGTATATGTAAAGATCACATGGTTTAATACTATACTTATGTCTTGACTCAGTAAGTACAAACAATTAAAAGGATGGTGAATTAACATTTTCTAAAATAAATTAACAGTGAATATAAATGAAAAAGAACATAGGTCTATCTAACTCATCCACCCCATCCCTCGACACACAACTATTGCTTAAATATGCATTACATGCCACATGCCGGCACACACTCACACTTTCTCATGCTGAGTCACCATATGCCATGTGCCCGCAGATGTGTAAGGTAGTTAAACACAATCTGAGATTTGATCATGTTAATTCCGAACCCGTAGTGTGCCCCATCGTAGCTCATGATGCCGTCTGTCATGTTGAAGGTGTCCAGTATTGGTATCCCAGCTGCTCTGACATGGCTGTTGATGAAGGCGTTATATCTGACAACGCTGCTGTAACTCTGGCCTGGAACCCGTGGGGTTTTCAGTATTCCGGGAGCGTGGGGGGAAACCCACACCAGTTTCGGCCATACTGTCTTATTTTTTGCGTATTCGTGTAGAAGGTTGATTGATGGAGAAAGAAAGTTCTTCCAGACCAGTTGTTCATTATAGGTCCCGTGGATACCAATGCCCACAAAGAAAATAGACTTCTGGTTCTTTTTACTTTTCAGTAAGCTGAGTAATCTTGGGCCTTGATTTTGTGTGATGAGTTGAACATGGATGACGTTGGTCTGGCCGCCACACACGGGAGCGGCGTAGTTTAAGTAGGAGTCGCACAGCAGCTGCATCCAGCCTGAACAGTACTCCCGCCACCCTGAAATATACAGCACACTATATTCACAAACAGCAGTGGGGAAACACAGCACACTATAATCACAAACAGCAGTGGGGAAACAAACAGCACACTATAGTCACAAACAGTAGTGGGGAAACACACAGCACACTATAGTCACAAACAGTAGTGGGGAAACACACACCACACTATAGTCACAAACAGTAGTGGGGAAACACACAGCACACTATAGTCACAAACAGTAGTGGGGAAACACACACCACACTATAGTCACAAACAGTAGTGGGGAAACACACAGCACACTATAGTCACAAACAGTAGTGGGGAAACACACGCCACACTATAGTCACAAACAGTAGTGGGGAAACACACAGCACACTATAGTCACAAACAGTAGTGGGGAAAAGCGCACTAAAATTACAAACAGCGGTGGGGAAACACACAGCACACTATAATCACAAACAGCAGTGGGGACATGCACAGCATACTATAATCACAAACAGCAGTGGGGAAACTAAGCACACTAAAATCACAAACACTACTGGGGAAACACAGCACCCTATAATAACAAACAGCAGTGGGGGAACACAGCACCCCTTAATCACAAACAGCAGTGGGGAAACACAGCACACTATAAACACAAACACAAACAGAAAGACAACATACTGTAACCACACACAGCAGAGGGGAACACAAAACATACTATCATCACTAACAGTAGTGGGGAAACAGCACACTATACTCACAAACAGTAGTGGGGAAACACAGCATACTACAATCACCAACAGTAGTGGGTGAGGCAACACAGCATACTATAATCACAAACAGTAGTGGGGAAACACAGCATACTATAATCACAAACAGTAGTGGGTGAGGCAACACAGCATACTATAGTCACAAACAGTAGTGGGGAAACACAGCATACTATAATCACCAACAGTAGTGAGGCAACACAGCATACTATAATCACCAACAGTAGTGAGGCAACACAGCATACTATAATCACAAACAGTAGTGAGGCAACACAGCATACTATAGTCACCAACAGTAGTGGGTGAGGCAACACAGCAAACTATAATCACAAACAGTAGTGGGGCAACACTATAATCACAAACAGTAGTGGGGCAACACAGCATACTACAATCACCAACAGTAGTGGGTGAGGCAACACAGCATACTATAGTCACAAACAGTAGTGGGGAAACACTATAATCACAAACAGTAGTGGGGCAACACAGCATACTACAATCACCAACAGTAGTGGGTGAGGCAACACAGCATACTATAATCACAAACAGTAGTGGGGCAACACGGCATACTACAATCACCAACAGTAGTGGGTGAGGCAACACAGCATACTATAATCACAAACAGTAGTGGGGAAACACTATGATCACAACAGTAGTGGGGCAACACAGCATACTACAATCACCAACAGTAGTGGGTGAGGCAACACAGCATACTATAGTCACAAACAGTAGTGGGGAAACACTATAATCAAACACAGTAGTGGGGCAACACAGCATACTACAATCACCAACAGTAGTGGGTGAGGCAACACAGCATACTATAATCACAAACAGTAGTGGGTGGGGCAACACAGCAAACTATAATCACAAACAGTAGTGGGGAAACACAGCATACTACAATGACAAACAGTAGTGGGGCAACTCAGCATACTACAATGACAAACAGTAGTGGGGAAACACAGCATACTACAATGACAAACAGTAGTGGGGAAACACAGCATACTACAATGACAAACAGCAGTGGGGAAACACAGCATACTATAGTCACAAACAGTAGTGGGGCAACTCAGCATACTACAATGACAAACAGTAGTGGGGAAACACAGCATACTATAGTCACAAACAGTAGTGGGGAAACACAGCATACTACAATGACAAACAGTAGTGGGGAAACACAGCATACTATAGTCACAAACAGTAGTGGGGAAACACAGCATACTACAATGACAAACAGTAGTGGGGCAACACAGCATACTATAGTCACAAACAGTAGTGGGGCAACACAGCATACTATAGTCACAAACAGTAGTGGGGAAACACAGCATACTATAATCACAAACAGTAGTGGGTGAGGCAACACAGCATACTATAGTCACAAACAGTAGTGGGGAAACACAGCATACTACAATGACAAACAGTAGTGGGGCAACACAGCATACTATAGTCACAAACAGTAGTGGGGCAACACAGCATACTATAGTCACAAACAGTAGTGGGGAAACACAGCATACTACAATGACAAACAGTAGTGGGGCAACACAGCATACTACAATGACAAACAGTAGTGGGGAAACACAGCATACTACAATGACAAACAGCAGTGGGGAAACACAGCATACTATAGTCACAAACAGTAGTGGGGCAACTCAGCATACTACAATGACAAACAGTAGTGGGGAAACACAGCATACTATAGTCACAAACAGTAGTGGGGAAACACAGCATACTACAATGACAAACAGTAGTGGGGCAACACAGCATACTATAGTCACAAACAGTAGTGGGGAAACACAGCATACTATAGTCACAAACAGTAGTGGGTGAGGCAACACAGCATACTATAGTCACAAACAGTAGTGGGGAAACACAGCATACTACAATGACAAACAGTAGTGGGGCAACACAGCATACTATAGTCACAAACAGTAGTGGGGCAACACAGCATACTTTAGTCACAAACAGTAGTGGGGAAACACAGCATACTACAATGACAAACAGTAGTGGGGCAACACAGCATACTACAATCACAAACAGTAGTGGGGAAACACTATGATCACAACAGTAGTGGGGAAACACAGGACACCATTATTACAAACAACAGTAGGGAAACACAGCACACTGTAATCACAAACAGCATTGGGGAAACTATTTTACATATGTCTTGGTTTATATGTCCTCAGTGTACCTGTGTCCTCAGTGGACCTATGTTCCGAGTGTATCTGTGTCCTCAGTATGTAAATGTCCCTTTTTGACAGCATCCTCAGTCAACCAATGTCCTCAGTGTACCAGTGTTCTCAGTCTACCAATGTCCTCAGTGTACCCATGTCCTCAGTTTACCAATGTCCTCAGTCTATCAATGTCCTCAGTCTGCCAATTTCCTCAGTCTACAAATTTCCTCAGTCTACCAATGTCCTCAGTGTGCCAATGTCATCAGTGTACCCATGTCCTCAGTATACCAATGTTCTCAGTGTACCCATGTCCTCAGTGTACCCATGTCCTGAGTGTGCCAATGTCATCAGTGTACCAATGTCCTCAGTATACCAATGTTCTCAGTGTACCCATGTCCTGAGTGTACCCATGTCCTGAGTGTGCCAATGTCCTGAGTGTGCCAATGTCCTGAGTGTACCCATGTCCTCAGTGTACCAATGTCCTGAGTGTGCCAATGTCATCAGTGTACCCATGTCCTCAGTGTACCAATGTCCTCAGTGTACCCATGTCCTCAGTGTACCCATGTCCTGAGTCTACCTATATCCTGAGTGTACCCATGTCCTCAGTATACCAATGTTCTCAGTCTACCAATGTCCTCAGTCTACCAATGTCCTCAGTGTGCCCATGTCCTCAGTATACCAATGTTCTCAGTGTACCAATGTCCTCGGTGTATCCATGTCCTCAGTAACGTAACCAATGTCCTCAGTGTGCCAGTGTCCTCAGTCTACAATGTCTTCAGTGTGCCAATGTCCTCGGTGTACCCATGTCCTCAGTATACCAATGTTCTCAGTGTACCAATGTCCTCAGTGTACCAATGTCCTCAGTGTACCAAAGTCCTCAGTGTACCCATGTCCTCAGTCTACCCATGTCCTGAGTGTGCCAATGTCCTCAGTGTACCAATGTCCTCAGTGTATCCATGTCCTCAGTAACGTAACCAATGTCCTCAGTGTGCCAGTGTCCTCAGTCTACAATGTCCTCAGTGTGCCAATGTCCTCGGTGTAGCAATGTCCTCAGTCTACAATGTCCTCAGTGTACCAATGTCCTCAGTCTACCAATGTCCTCAGTGTACCAATGTCCTCACTTCCAATATCCCTCGTCTACCAAAATTCCTCAATGTACCTATGTCCGCCGTGTACCAATGTCCTCAGGATGTAAATGTCCCCGTGTACAAGCATCCCCAGTGCACTAATGTCCCAAGTGTACCAATATCCTGAAGACCCCTTAATGTTCTCACAGTATTTTTTTTAAAGGTCTTCTGAGCTACTTTACATCAGATGTACCCCTGTACACTAAATTTGGCATTCATGATAAGAATAATAGAAAACAACGGGCTGTATTGCCTTTTACATCAAATATGGAAACGTGGACCTATTGTGCGTAAAAGCCAAATAGCAATGAAAATTATATGAGTATATCGCTGAAGGTCTGTGATGACACAAGGTCTTAGGAAAGTGTTAGCATGACCTACCCCACCTTGCACAAAAAGTGTGGGGTTGTAGCCTGACACCTTACAGCAGTGCCCCTATGATGTGGCGGCGGCAAGGGGCGGGCCAGAATAGCGACAGCGCATTTACTTATTTTGTTGAAACCAAAGACGAATTTCTAGTATTATAAAAATCGGGGACTTTTGACCACCAGCAGTAACATGGACCCAGCTCAAGTAATTGTATCATAGGCCAAAAGTTATGGCAACCGAAACATGCATCCAAAGGGTGTCCCAATGAACAATGGAATTTGTTTTATTGACAAGGCGTGACAGCACCCGGACATTTATATCACTTATTGGTCAGAACGGAAACAAGACACATTCAATGCAGGTTCAAGTTGTATATTCAATTGAAGTATGATGGCATGGTGGTTATACACCTGCAGAATAGCTGTCACATTGCTGCTTTACACACCTTTTGTGGTAGGGCGACTAACGTGATCGGGTTGGCAGGCTCGCTTACTTGCTGACTTTGTTGATGTATGCCATCGTATTCCAGTTGCGTAAAACCGACGCTCATGATGTCAATATTGCTGGAAAAGTGCGGAATACGGCGCTAACAAACAAACAAACAAACAAACAAACCTGTTGGTGTTGTAGACTTTAGCGTGGAGTCCTTATAGTTGTCAGTGAGGATTTGGACAGTCACTGTGTACATCTGCCTCAAGAACGAGTCCCCGATGTAGTAGATAGTAGCCCCTTTAATAAGTTCACACGCTTCATCTTTGTTCAACATTGAGATCTGACAATTGGGGCTGGATGGTTTCCAATCAGTAAGTTCAGCATTAATAGGCCTGCGCATGTCAAAACAGTTCTCACACATACATTCCTTCATTGTCTTATACACGCATTTGTTGTTATAGCAACATGGTGTTGGACCAAACGGATCGCACAGGGGTCGGAACCACAGAGCCTGGTGTTGTAGGCCTTTCAGAAAGTCAAAAGTTGTATTTCCACAAACACCATCGGGACGTGCCAAGGTTGTTGGTACAAAATACTTTCCTCTTGAAGCTATCAAGAATTTTTCAACTTTCTCTCTTTCTTCAAACGTCGCCCTCCTCGGTGTCCACGCTCCTCGCACCATTTCGTCCAAAACGTTTTTGCACTCGATCTGTGAACCATTTTGGCAGAGAAAACGAAAATAATTGTAGTTTTTAAAGTTTACATTCAGGATGGTAGTGAAGACAAGGAGTCCAGTCCCCACAGCGATGAGGAATGGCACATGACCCCTTCTCGGCATGACTTCAACACCGGCGATGCCTACTGTGTATGTGTCCTCGTGGAAGGTGGGTGGCGTACTGGTGAAATCTTGATACCAGTTCAGTATGACAATGAAAGATTGTGTTAATATTTGGTAAACATAATCTGGCTCTGTCCACCGAAAAGGTCCACAGTTATTCCTTTTGTGCGTCACTGGAACAGAGAATTTATAATGATACATTTTAAAATAGTATCCCCTATAAGCGAGTTAAATAAAAAAGCATGCGGATTGTTGACGTAATGTTTTGTGTGGAGTATTTAACAACAGTAACGACATGTGGCGGTTGTTAAACACACACCGTCTCCGTTTAATTCAGCTATGCCGTAATGTAATCACAACTTTGTTGGTTCGATTGTGTATAACCAGAAACTTGTTTTATTTCTAATTTCTTTGTGAGTGTACATGAAATGCTTAAATCATACTTACTTCATTTAATAGCAGATAAAAGTGAAGATTATCAATCAAGCCAAATCAGTGCAGTGAAAAGAGCTAAATCACATAATGAATGTTGGAATCAAAACGATGGACATAGGAGGTGGGAGCACGCAGAAAGAAAATTGCTACAATGCCTTGTGTGTGGGAAATAGGGACAAAAGCAAGACATGTGTTTTAATAGACCATATATGTCAAATTTAAACTAGATGGTGCTGAGGTAAAGGGCCATACGTCAGCCGAAAGAATGAGTGAAAAGGGCACAAAAGGTGTTTTGGATACATTTCACGACATTTCTGTGTGTGCTAATGATGAACCTCTGTGGTACTATTCAAGTATGCATCACAATTTTGAGGTTGTACAGAGATTACCTATATGCAAGGTTTTAGCTCAAAATTGTTTGATCTTGTCACAATTAAAAGTCTGGATTGATTTAGACAATTTGGAATTGAGAAAACAAGAAGAGGAAAGGTTTAGCACTGAGACAGAATCTACAAAGAAGACTATGTGTATGGTGTCTACAAAGAAGACTGTGTTTAGGGTGTCTTTAGCTGAGACAGTTGTACCACCTGGACATAAAATGATTAATGCAGGGAAAGTGAAATCTACTTAAGTGGAACACTAGCTCCCAATGGTGTTTTTAAACCGAATTTGGGATTTAGTGTAAAAGAGTTCCACTGTAGGATAATGATGACTTTTCAGTGACATCTGAACTCAATACATTGACCACGTTGAATGGAGATCAGTATCAAATGTCATGTGCTGTAAACACACAAGATTCTCAGACATTAAATGACCGCTTGAAATACATTTTGAAAAGATGCCACTTTGAGAAAGATGGCCAAGGTTAAGAGCATAGAAAATTAATTAATCTTCTTGCGAACTTCGAAGATGTGTTTGCTTTGGGACCTCATGAGTTGGGTAAAACAGATATTATTACTCATCCAATAAACACTGGAAATGCACCACCTATTCGCAAGGCTGCAATATCTTTACCAGCATCAAAGAGGTCAGAAGTAAAGGGACATTTAGAGAAAAGATACAATCAGTCCGCCCCACAGTCCATGGGCATCGCCAACAGTTCTGTTTTCCGAGTAAAATAAATCCACGAAGTTTCTATAGATTTTCGAAACATTAATGAGATTTCGAAGAAGGGTGCCTTTTTCGATCAGGAACATTTGAAGACACATTTGATTGCTTAGTCGGCAGTCAGTTCTACTCAACCTTGGATTTAATATCAGGCAATTGGCAAGTCGCGATGGACGGACAAGGTTAAGTGAAAACGTCATTTCGAACACTTTATAGCTTGTACCATTTCAATGTAATGTTCTTTGGGCTGACTGGATGTGATTATGTTCAGTAGGAGCACTGATGTACAAATGACACGACTTACAACTGTATTGGATGGTCTTCGAGAAGCTGGTTTGGGATTAAACCCTGGAAAGTGTCATTTCATGAAGATGTGCGTTTCATGTCTGGGGCACATTATATCTCAAAATGGTGTTGAAACAGATCCGGAGAAAACTAGAGTTGTTCGTGAATGGCCAACACCTTCAACAGTAAATGAAGTCCTTCGATTCTTGGGTTTTGCATCATACCAAGAAACATTTGGCAGAAATTATAGCTCCACTCCTGTATGTGCACTCAGACAAGACAGAGAATAGAAAGTTGATTGTTCATATGGAGGTCTTGTAGAAAAGATTTTGTAGAATGTACACAGCGCTGAAACTGGTGGTCACTTGGAATCTGCAAAGACACTGGAAAAAGATCAAGCAAACGTATTCCTGGCTATGGATGGACAGTGAGGTGGAAGAGAGTGTGAGTTTGGTTTTACGCCACTTTTAGCAATATTCCATCAATATCACTGCAGGGGACACTAGAAAGGGGCTTCACACATTGTACCCATGCAGCAATCGAACCCGGGTCTATTTTGTGGCCAGATGACGATGACATTGAGACAATGTGTGTTTATCCGTCAGCCAGAGATGAGGAAGTTGTCCAAGTACATTGTACCTTCCTCATACAAGGAGGAGAAAACCCACATTAGTATGGCCTGAACTATTCTTGTGTTAATAGAGATAGATACATGTGAAGTGTTCATCATAGTGAAGAATGGAACTTTGTTATAATGGAATATGTGTAAATATTTGTATAGTTTGTGATCAGCTTAATTTTGAAGAAGGGCCACAAGAGTTATGCCCCTTTGTAAACAGACAGTTTGTCCATCTCACACAGTGTAGATAGAATGATCATGTATCCTTAGTTACGGTATGTATATCTGTTCCTTGTGATTGTGATGTCATGTACATGTGTTTACTGCTGTCATGGTAATGCCAGTTGGGCTGAGGAGTCAGATATCACGTTTTCAACTACAGTCATCGTTGTTGTGATTGTTGACTCATTATTTAAGATGAGGTGCAACAATGTATTGATATTAGCCAAAAAGGTGGTCTCAACAAAAATGAGAAACTCATTTATGACCTCAATTACAGAACTAAAATGAAAATAAATTGGGACCAGAAGTATATCTGTCAGCTATTTGAGGAGGCAGGTCACATCTCAAGCGACACATGTTTCAGGGCGCGGGTGGCCCAGTCGTCTAAGGCGCCGCAACTCGCTGTGCAGAGTTGCGTCCCTTGGGCACGTCAGAAACCTATGATTGTGGGTTCGAATCCCGGTTCGCCCCGAATATGTTTCTAGGTTTGTCAGCACCATACCCGTGCTCGTGGGTTTCACCGAAGTGGTAAACGCCTGAGACCTGCATCACTTCGGGCTTTCCTCCACATTAAACTGACACGCCGTGATATAACTTGAATACTGTTAAAAGCGGGGTTAAACACAACTCATTCACTCACTCAATCTAAATCGTTAAGAAAAAGGGAAAATATAAGGGGAGATAAATTTTCGCCTTGACGGACACCTGAATGGATTGGAAAGAAGCTGGAGATGGAGTGACCTTTTTGAATACAAGACTTAATATTGCTGTACATATTTTGTACTAGCGTGAGAAATTTACCTGTGATTCCATATTTTAGTAATTTTGACCAAAGCTAAACAATCCAGACATTATAAAACGTCTTTCGAAAATCAGTGAAAGCACAGTAAAGCTTCCGTTTATTATATTTTAAGATATTCATAAGCATGATGATTAAAAAAAATATTACGGTTGTTGAAAACTGTGGGATACTAGAAGGGACATTGTCGCGATGTTGCATTGTGGTTTGCTTTCCTTCAATGAAAACAAATCGTTCATCGTTGCTTTGGAAAATATTTTATATATCGTGATTGTCTGTGTCGGTTTTCATAAACCAAAGGGGTTTTTTTTAGCAAGAAACAAACACTTGGCATTTCTGTTTAATTTAATTCCCGCCTCCGACATCTTTTTCAAATGACACACGGTTGGCCCTGTTGTTTTAGACGGTGCAGTTCGCCGTGTGTCTCCTGGACGTACCAGAAAACTATTATCGCGCATTCGAATCCCAGCACGATACACATACATCACTTTGGGATTTCCTCCCACATCAAACTTACACGCTCTCCGTAGCCACATGCTGAGGTCATTTGTGTGCTTAGCACTATGCCCATTTAGACATTTCTTATAATCCTTTGTAGTCTATTGGTGTCTGTTTTAAATTTTCTGAGCTGTTTTCCAGCTTTAGTATAGCGTTTACGTAGGAGTTTGCACTCCCTACCAAACCAAGGCTTGTTTGCTTTCTCAGTGCTGCCATGTTGCTTTGGGACCATGTCACAGCACAAGCCGGCTTGCCCTCATTTCGCCTACACCTCATTTCGCCTACACCTCATTTCGCCTACAATAATTCAAATGCTTACTTGCCGGTCCCTGATCCAACAACCATCTGGAAGGGTTCCAGTGTGGACTGAAAAAGAGAATGCCCCGATCTCACCCTAACATCTATCAGTTCTTGAAGGAGATCAAGAAGATTGAAAAGGCAGACAGACGCTCCAGGAAACAAATTGATCTTGGAGGATCATGCAGACCCCGAGCTCGTGTTGACAGACAAGGGGACGAAAGAATTGAAGGCACAGCTTCTTAGTGGAAGAAAAACTGTAATGCAATTTCTTGATGCCGTTGGATATGTACTAAGGCTACAGTAATCACGAGTCATTATTATTATTACTTCAAATGTAAATATCAGCTATTAAACAATGTATGAAGCTTCAAGATTGTGTTGTCTGTTTAACTGCAATGCAATTTCTTGATGCCGTTGGATATGTACTAAAGCTACAGTAATCATGAGTCATTATTGTTATTACTGCATAATGTAAATATCAGCTATTAAACAATGTATGAAGCTTCAAGATTGACTTGTCCGTATAACCTTCTTTTGGGTCAGTTCATTATTTTAGAGGTAACACAGCACTTGACTTATGTGCAGTCAGCTGTAAATTTGTTTTGATAAGGGTGTAGGCCAAATGAGGGGATTGCCTAAAAGTCGGGCAAGGAAACGTCGGGCCGGGCCCTGACCAGCGGGTAATTCTAAAAATGGATTGCAGAATAATAAAATGAAACGTGCATATCTAGGCAGATCTCAAATGTCCAGAAACGGATAGTTTTGCTCATTTAATTGAGTTTGAATCAAAATGTATCTTCAGCAATGTAATAAACTGATAATTATAGCTACATACCGAGAGTTCATACCGAAAAGTCAGTGTCTTGACTGTGTCTTTACTTTGATGAGAAGGTTTCTCACCGACCTTAGCGTGCAGGGGTGTGATGTCCTGGGCAGGAATTCGAAATGACAGTGTTTTGACTACTCTTCTTTCATTCATTAACGTGTTTGGCATACCTAATTAACCTTTACTAATTCATGTTAAACCAACACAGGATGTTTTCTGCAAGTTGATATTCGCGAATGTCATAGGACTGACACGATACGTGTTAATAACTGTCAAAGCGCTTCTAAAATTACAACACATACTTTACATATATAGGTTAATTATGATATCATATCTACCTATATAACACTTTAGTGTCTCATATTGCAGTATGAGTGCTCAAAAGTGAAGCCCTTTTCCCTCTACATTCTCTCTATCAGAAGTGTTTTGCTTGTGTTGGGTCCGACTTAGCCCTGCCGGTCAAAATCAACTTAAACACACATATGTATCTTCAAATGTGTTTACATCTATAGATTAGTGTTATATCTACCTATATACCACTTTATAATGTCAAGGGTACATCGTATTTAAAGAAAACAAGGTGCTCAAAGTGAAGCAATTCTACAGTATTTTCTTAAGAAAATGTATGTCAGAAGTGTTCGGTCCGACTTTGCCCGGGCTCTCAAAATCATCTTAAACCTCACAGATGTATCATCAAATGGATTCACATCTATAAGATTAGTGTTATATCTACCTATATAACACTTTATAATGTCAAGGGTACATCGTATTTAAAGAAAACAAGGGGCTCAAAATGAAGCAATTCTACAGTATTTTCTTAAGAAAATGTATGTCAGAAGTATTCGGTCCGACTTGGCCTGGGCTCTGAACATCATCTTAAACCTCACAGATGTATCATCAAATGTGTTTACATCTATAGATTAGTGTTATATCTACCTATATACAACTTTATAATGTCACGGTACATCGTATTTAAAGAAAACAAGGTGCTCAAAGTGAAGCCCTTTTCCATTTACATTCTCAACATAGTCTCTATCAGAAGTGTTTTGCTTGTGTTGGGTCCGACTTGGCCCGGGCGGTCAAAATTAACTTTAAACACACAGACGTATCTTCAAATGTGTTTACATCTATAGATTAGTGTTATATCTACCTACATACCACTTTATAATGTCACGGTACATCGTATTTAAAGAAAACAAGGTGCTCAAAGTGAAGCATATCTACTGTATTTTCTTAAGAAAATGTATGTCAGAAGTGTTCGGCCCGACTTGGCCCGGGCTGTCAAAATCAACTTAAACCTCACAGATGTATCATCAAATGGATTCACATCTATAGATTAATATTATATCCACCTAAATACCACTTTATAGTGTCTCAGATCGCTGTAATTAAAGAAAACAAGGTGCTCAAAGTGAAGGCCTTTTCCCTTTACATTCTCAACATAGTCTCTATCAGAAGTGTTTTGCTTGTGTTGGGTCCGACTTGGCCCGGGCTCTCAAAATCAACTTTAAACACACAGACGTATCTTCAAATGTGTTTACATCTATAGATTAGTGTTATATCTACCTATATACCACTTTATAATGTCACGGTACATCGTATGTGAAAAAAACAAGGGGCTCAAAGTGAAGCCCTTTTCCCTCTACATTCTCAACATAGTCTCTATCAGAAGTGTTTGGCTTGTGTTGGGTCCGACTTGGCCCGGGCGGTCAAAATCAACTTTAAACACAGAGACGTATCTTCAAATGTGTTTACATCTATAGATTAGTGTTATATCTACCTATATACCACTTTATAATGTCACGGTACATCGTATTTAAAGAAAACAAGGTGCCCAAAGTGAAGCATTTCTACTGTATTTTCTTAAGAAAATCTATGTCAGAAGTGTTCGGTCCGACTTGGCCCGGGCTGTCTAAATCATCTTAAACCTCACAGATGTATCATCAAATGGATTCACATCTATAGATTAGTGTTATATCTACCTATATACCACATTATAATGTCACGGTACAGCGTATTTAAAGAAAACAAGGTGCTCAAAGTGAAGCATTTCTACTGTATTTTCTTAAGAAAATGTATGTCAGAAGTGATCGGTCCGACTTGGCCCGGGCGGTCAAAA